CGTCTATAAAGTCCCATCCTGAAGTAGACACAACAGCCTCAAACTACACTCCTCTCCCCAAAATGGCGCGATCAGTCTTCAGCAAAGGCATTAAAGGCGGTGTAGCCAATAACAAATCAACACTATCCGCTGATAGAGCAAATAATTCATCAAGGCTAAATGCTCACACCTATAGTGCAACGAAAACCTTGCATATAGGAAAAATCTCGTCGTCTCGTATCGATGGTAGGTTTAAGCCTACATTTAACTTAGCCGTAGACCTCATTAAAATTTTATTACCTGAACTCACTAAACAGAGATATATGTCCATAATTGGTGCCAAGTTTTAATCCGCATCTACATCTAGGTTTGCATATATGAACTTATTGTCTATTTTATTTTAATTATTTATACAAGGGATATTACAGGCTTGGTTTTATTTTTTTGAAATTTATCACAGAGCTTCGTAATAAATACGTCGCTTCTAGAGAGCCCTCAATTTCCTCCCTATTAAGCAGAAATAGTTCTGTTAATCGCATGCTTCAAGCAGCACAAAAGCAGCGACATGAGCTACAAGAGCAGAAGCGTTCGGCACTTCTAGCTCGATTGGCGGAAAAGGCCGAGAGGGCTCGGACCATTGCAGAAAAAAAAGAGCAAGAGCGCGTCGAGGCGGCAAAGGTCAATGAACAACGCCGCTTGGCTGTGAAAGCAAATGCACAGCGATTGGAAGAAGCGCAGCGCTTACGAAACATGCTTAAATTTAAACAGGTAACTTTTAATATTTATTAAATCCCACTTTAATTGATATATTTAATTGCCTTTTGATATCATATAGAATCAAATCGTTTTGGGGGAAAATGTATCTACCGCTAAACCGATCGCACAAAAGCCTATAAGTACGAGTGCCAAAGAAAATATCCCTCCTGATGGATACTCTACTTTGGCCCTTAAACTAACGCCACCCTCGGAATTACCATCCTTTGATGCAGACGAGCCTACGTCGCTCTCTAAACCGGCTCCAAGCAATGCAAGCTTGACATTACATGAACACTCTAAATCTAAAATATTAAAGGGCGTACGAATTGAAGTTCACCAATCTCCAGTTCCACCATCGATGCCCAAATCTCATCCATCCCCCAAGAATAATAAAGGTGAACTAAAGATATTGTCTAAAGATATCTTATCTGTTCAAAGTCCAGTTGCTGCTTCTGTT